TAGCCTAAATGCTTAGCAGGCCATTGGTCCCTGGGGACTGAGCTGGAAAGCTCTGGCTCCTAGCCCAAAGCCATACACTGATGAAATAAGCTATTGTCCAGTGCACTACTGGGATAATGGAGTTATCAATAAAGAGTCAAGGAAACTGGGTCAGAGACGCATACTAGCAAAGCATTCTGCAGGCATCTATTTGTACTTGTCCCATTTGAGATCTTTAAGTATAGAAAAAGTTTTGATTTGCAAAATTTTCCTTTGCACGACTAACAAGATTTCACCACCAAGGACAACAGTAACCTTGCAATCAGGCGGTGCGTCCATATAATTTTTAGAAAAATCAATATAGACGGCAATGAAAGTTTCCCAATACATCCATTGCATGTTGGTTGTGGTGTTCAGCTAAGGAGCATGCTGTGCATCATTTCTGCATACTACTGTTACAGTATGGGATGGCAATATAATACTTGAAGATCAGACCTCAAAATTACTCTTCCGGAGAAACAAATTAACATAACCTTGCACTATAGCTACAGTCCGAATTAACTTTGTCCTGTAGCTCTTGGGTCCAGAGTAGCCGTCACGTACATTTCTAGTAGGGCAAATGGGCTAGCAGATCACAGGTTGAAGAGAAGTCATCAGCATTCCTACAATGCTTCACTTTAGTTAGCAAGCCAACATTTCGGGGCCACAGAGGGTCCCCTTCTTCAAGGTATAGTCATTGCAAACTCATGTGACACATTGTGACTGAACCCAAGCTGGTTATTTCACTTTTAATGGAGTGCTGGTGGCTTCCCTTGCAATTATGCTGCACGGCGCCATCCGTTGTGGTCATTACTAGCACCACTTTGTTACCTTGGTCGCCATGCTGTGAGGAGTGTGGCCTTAGAACCCGATCCCTATATGGGCTAGCAAATCAGATGTATCTGTATTCAATCTCCAATCTAATTTGCTACGCTTGACTTTAAAGCCCCCTACTCCAATCACAGAACGCCTTGTATTCTTTGGAGAGAAATAAAGGCATTTTGTGAACGGGCAAGTGGTGAGGAGTGGCGGAGATGTGACTGGAGCAACTCACTTGTCCAGTCGCATACCTCACCTCTCCACGGCACCCATAAACTAAAGGGCTTCATTCATACAATTTCTCCCCTTTATTCTCTTTGCATGGCATTAGCACACCTAGGTGGCACTGATGAGCATAGGAAATTCACACCTGAGCAAAGTGTCCACTGTTCGAAAACGTAGAGGAGTTTCATTTCCGACAGAATTGTTACTTTTCGGCCCCATAAACATCAATAGGAGCCCCTGGTAAAGTGCACTTGCCATGTGATTTTGCACCCAATAATAGTCTCCTCCTCCTCCTAGTAGCAAGCTTTCCATTGGCTAAAACAAAAAGGTTTAAGCTTCAAAAAACAAGCCAAAATACTTCAAAATGGTCTGAATACGCCTATGCGTGAATGGGGCCAAGTCTCTGCGCGCACACCTTTCCACCTGCATTTTAACGGCTTATACATTTTTGTTGTGGCCAATGGTGAAGAAATAACGTATAGGTCTCGAGGAAGGGGGGGGGGTTGTTGTGCACTAAGGGCAGGTTGACAGCATTTTCCGGACCAGATCTAGAATTAAGCGCATTGTGGTTTTTGCCGTTTTCACCATGATTGGAAATTATTTTTTTGCTTAAAATTGTCTTACAGGTGCGTTTTTGATGAGTTCCAGTGCATTCCAGACCAGACAAAATAGGACAAGCAGAATTTTTCTGGTCCAGAACGGACTGCCCTGGTGTGAACAGAGGCCAGAAATAGCATAGGGATACATTAGGATGCATTCAGCTTATATCTGGTTCAATTAAGCTATGAAAAGGAAAGCTAGAAGCGGATTGGTTGCCATGCACAGCTGCTCCAGTATGCATCAGTGGTGCACCTGTCGGTGACAACACTGCTTGCTACTGGACTTCAAATACCAGCTGCACACCCCACTGCTGGAAGTGAGACTATAGAGCACGGGCACTCCAACTGTGATGAAACTACAAATCTCATGCATCTGCCTTTGGGAGTCATACCTGTCAGTCTCACAATGCCTTATGGAACGTGTCATTTTGCTGCACCTGGCGTGCCAAGGTTACCTACCTCTGCTACAGAGGCACACTGTGCACTGGAATGGTGGCCTCAGGCCTACAGTGGCTGCATGCACATAACAGTGACTACGCAGATACCCAACTGAATTTATCCCGTTGCCACCATTGTAGAGGCACCTCTGCTGCATTATGGGTATTTATTTCAATACCCCTCCTCTCACCACATTGACCAATCCAAAGTTCTATAACTGGATTTGGGCCCCCGAGCATTGACCGTGACCTGCAGAGACACAAGTGAAATACCCCAGACTGCACACTCAATGGTCACTCACAACACTTTGTGGCCAATCACAACCTCATCAAATGAGCGCTTCACCAAATACTTTTTTTCAATATTAAAACAGAAAAAGTTTACTCGTACTATATTGCTATAATATCAGGGCTCTCTCCCTCCTCCTGTATTTCCCCGCATACCTCTGGTCTGCTCATCCGGGAAGCAGAGCAGTGTTCAAAGGGCTCAACAGGTCAAGAGTAACTACTGCCAACTTAAAGATCAGACACACAAACTTCTAAAGGGCATTAAACTGGCATTATTCTAAAAATTCTGTTTCAGCTCCCCATACAATTTGTGCATGTACAAAACATGACTTGAACGCAGGTTTAGAGTACCAACCACAGCACAGCAAATGAAAAGATCAACAAGTACTTTGAGATTGCAACACTAAGAATATTAGGCATACAACCTCTAGGTGGCATGAGCTACCGTTTTTTTTTAAATCACCGTATTTTTCAGGTCCATAAGACGCACTTTTTTTCCCTCCAAAAGGAGGGGGGAAATCTGCCTGCGTCTTATGGAGCGAATACCTATCTCCCGACGCCCGGGACATGCAGTTTCGGGCGCCGGGCGAGTAGTTTCTTTTTGTACATTCAGCCCTGTTCCTGACAAGCAGAGCTGAATGTACAGTGGGAGCCGCTGCTCGTTTAATACAAGGGATTGAATTAGATCCCTTGTATTAAATCGAGCGGCATCGATCGTGTCCGCACCCCGCCGTGGTTTTCGGAGTCCCCCGCTCCTCTGGGGGACCATGACCCGTCATGGTCCCCCATAGAGCCCCTTGAGCAGACGAAGAACGTCGTTCTTCGTCTGCTCTGTGTGATTACTGAGACAGCGCCACCTGTCTCAGCGGTCACTACCTGCAGCTTCTGTGACAGAATTTCTGTCACAGAAGTCCTGCGTGCTATCGTCCGGAGCGTCTTATAGACAGCAAAATACAGTAGATTTCGGGTTGCCATACAATTTAAAGTGACACTAAACTCAGGAATTAAATCTTAGAAATTAATTACTTGATAAGCAGCTACGACAAAATCTACTTTAGAGTTAAAGTGACACTAAACTCAGGAGTTAAAGCTCAAAAATACATTCAAGTACCTCAACTAGTAACAATGTGTCTTATTTGTGTATCACTCGGCTGTAGAGCCTCAAATCATCTCTGAATTGGTGCTGACACTGTCCTTCCTTCTGGAGGGGGGCTACTTTTGTTCCCCATGGTCCCTGTGTGTGTTGTAAAGTAGTAAAGTAGTCACCGCTCCAAGCTCACTCCCGGGATGGGCTACAATCTCAATACAAATGAGTAAACTAAACAGGAGATTGTAGTCTATCCCGGGAGTGAACTTGGAGGGGTGTTTAGTGTCAAAATGTACGTAAAGGCAAAACGTTGTTTTTAGGTATTGGATAGAATGAGAAAGGGCAAGATCTTCTGCCAAGCTTTTAACCCTGTGTGCGCCACTGCTGATATTCACTGAAGGCAATTCTAAAAACTGTCAGGAGACGGCAGACATGCAACAGGAGATGGTCAAAGACCACGGGCATGCTACATGGGATGGTCAGAGACTGTGGACATGCAGTAGGAATTGTTGCAGACCAAGGACATCCTTCAGGAGATAGTTATAGAATTAGGTCATGCTTTAGGAGACCATCATAGTCGGGGAACATGCTTCAGGAGATTGTCAAACTGGGGACATACTCCCCAACTACACTCAGACTGGAGACCGCGGCAGACCGGGGGAGTGCTACGGGAGACCGCGGCGGACCGGGGGCGTGCTACGGGAGACCGCGGCGGACCGGGGGCGTGCTACGGGAGACCGCGGCGGAGAGATCGTAATAGACAAGGCATATGTTTCAGGAGTCCATCATAGCTGGCGTTGGGAAAACTTCCTCTCATTTCTTGTTGCATCCCCATGACAGGAAGTGAAGGCCAATCTCCCGAGCAGGGCACAGACAACAAAAAATATACTGCCATTGTTTCTCATCCGTCCCCGTTCCATCCACAGAGAATGTGGCTCTATTGTACATACACTTACGCCATTCCTTCCATGATGCACCACGCAGGATGGCCCCCGATCACACCCAAGTGTCCTGTCCACAACGCTCGGTGAGAAGAGCCCCTTCACTCTGAGCGCTGCCTCATTCACACCCGAGCGTCGGGTAACTTGTCCTAAAAATATACATGAGCTTTTTTTTTGTGTGTGCATGTTTTTGGCCCCACAGACTTCAATGGAAGAAGGCACGCTTCTGCACACAGCAACCGTCTCCTCCTCCTAGCAACCCACTTTACCATTGCCCAAAACGTAAACACTGGGACCTCATTCACACTTGCCATGCACATGCCACGCGTTTTGCCATGCATCAGCGGATTCATTTCAACGGGCAGCAAAGAAGCCTCAGCTTGAGCCACTTTTGGGGTGACATCAAATAATGCAACAGGGCACAGCAAGCGTAAGCGGGGGCCTTGCAATCATCTGGTACTGGGGTGCAGGTTTTGCGGAGCACTGTCCTGATGACTTGGCCCTGTCCAGGATGGGTGGGGGAGAGGGGGTACACAGGCTGCCTTCACATACACCCACAGAGGGCACACCGCACTCTCCCGGTTACCTTGACTCTGAATCGGATCATGGCCAGGCGAATGCAGTGCGCCAGGCAGGCGGGCGGCAGGAACCAGGCCCGGGGGGGCGGGGTGCCCAAGTTCTTGTAGTAGTTGTCACCCTCCTCCTTCTCCTCTGCCGGGCTCCGGGTACATTTACATTTCAAGCAGAACCACAGTTGTATTTTCAATGCAAAAAGCCTGCCATGGCCAGTTAAAGCTAATCAAAATATACACACTTGCAGCGGGGGCCGGGAAAGGGTTACATGCTGATTAA